GTAATTTTGAAAGCCGAGCCCCCTGCCCCGTGTTGGCGTCGCGTTTATAGTGCCCGCCTCGCGGCCCGCGTTGGGGCGGTGTGCGCAGCTCCGGGAGCCGCCGAGGGCCGCCCCAGTGCTCCCGTTCATGCTCTGAGGGCTCCCGCAGGGGCGTCGCAGGAGGCCCGGGCGGCTCAAGAGACTCAGGCCAACTGGTTTGATTATGTCGGATTGTACGGAGGGAACACAGTACACCCGGAGAAAGCCTAGATGGAAAAAATCTAGGGTTTGTTTGCAAAGCAGTAGGAGGAGAGAGGGAAACAGGAGGGAAAAAAAAAAAAAAAAGCAAAACCTAATATCTTGTAGACAATTTCTAGGTTACCACCTGTGTTTGTTGGTATCTTCAGATATCCAAAGTATTCTTTCAAGATCCCTAAGGATACTTCCTGACAGTTCTGTAAATGCAGCAGGGATGCTAGTTTTATATAGAAATGAGAAGCAGGCCAGATCATAAATACTGGAATTTGGGGGGAGGGAGTGGAAGTGGGGGTTATTTTCACAAATCAACATGTCTTGTCAGAGAATATAGGGATCCTAAACCTCTCTTAAACTTGAAAATTAAGTGATAGTTACTGACAGGTAGGAACATGTGCTGCAGCTTATTGGGATTTTTATAATGTCGTGTCTTCCTGTCTGCAAAAGATGTCAGAACAGCATCCCCCCACCCCTCTTCTATTCATTCTGCTTTTTTCTTACTCTCCATCATAGAAAGGGTGGCATGGCTGCTAGTAACTTTCCTTCGCTCTGCTTTACACTTTTTGCCAAAGGGTGTGCAGGGCCAGAATGGTGCTGTGGTATTGACCTGGGTGGTAGCTTGCAGGCAGCTCACTCCATCTTTCTGCTTTTCTTCCTTAATTACCTATCCACATTTTCTACATCACCCACATATTTGATTATGGTGTTGACCTTCAACATTTGTCAAATTATAGAAGTAATTTAAAATGAAGCTTATTCTGAAATCCTGCTGTGTACATCATGGTCCAACTATTGCAGGGTATGGTTTGTGCAGGGTATGGTTAATATAGTAGTAGTGTGTGTGTTGGAGAAAGAACTGCAGGGTGCGGTATCATTTTAATATTGTGGTAAAGACCCTCTCCCTAGAGTAGAACAGAATTTTTGGCAATATTTAACTCGGAAGAATGTAGGTCTGTAAACAAACGTATAGGGGATTGTGCAGCCTTTTACACCTCTTAGAAGGTTAGATGAGTGGTTGATAAACAGGAGTCGGGGGGGACAGTGAAGCAAGTCAAGGAAGGGTGCTAAAACCAAGGACAAATATTTTCAGTTTAATATAGTTTATTTCAATGAAGTAACATGATTGATTGTCTTTTTCAGATTACAGCAAAAGCATCTGTCATCTTTGTTACGCTTCAGTATAATGTTACCATTCCTGCCACAGGTATGTGTCTTGAAGGAGTTTAGTTGTGTAGTTTCGCTGTCTTTTCTAAGTTGAGGATCAAATGAATTATTTAAAGTGAAATCCTTCAAAACTACTTAATATGTATTCAAACAATTTCCAGTGAAAATCTGTTTTAACAAAATAAGTTTGGTGAAAATATTCTACTGGATTCATTATTAGAACTGAAACTCATCTGATTGCTATATAAGTTCACATTCCTTCTTATTTTGGTTTTGCAAGTGGCTATATTTACTAGTCCAAGGGGTGTGTGTGCGTATTATAATTCAGCATAATTTCATAGTCCCATTTCGGTGTCCTTTGGAAAGCTGCCAACCTGCAATTAGGTCTTTATAGTACGTCTTCCCAGAAACAAGTTTAGGTTTTGATGTGATATAGAGTGACCTAGATCGTGATGCCGGTTTAATTTGGCGATAGTTTTTGGTCAGCAGAATGGGCATCTTCTGTCTAAAAGATTTCCCTTTGAGAAACAAAATTATTGGTGATCAAGCTGTGTCAGCACCTGACAGTTGGATTTTTTTTTTCTCTTAGAAGAACAATCTGCAGAAGCAATCTCTCTCTATCATTATGGCATCAAGGATTTGGCTACAATCTTCTTCTACATGCTTGTAGCAATAATCATACATGCTATTATTCAGGAGTATGTCCTGGATGTAAGTATGAAATGTTAATTTCATTAGGATGATTGTCATGTTTTAACTAGGTTTCATTACTATTAGAAGTAAACTTCTGCATTTAAAATATTATCTGTTAAAGCTAAAACTGACATTTAACTACATTAGAACTTTTAACTGTTAAATACTAAAGCATATAAATAACACTGGACTTTCTTTTTAGAAAATCAACAGGAAAATGCACTTTTCAAAAACGAAGCATAGCAAGTTCAATGAATCCGGGCAACTTAGCGCCTTCTACCTTTTCTCCTGTGTTTGGGGCACAAGTATTCTTGTCTCTGTAAGTGTACTCTCTCTTGTGCTTAAAGTGTACAAGGTGTTAAAAGTTGCACTTATTTATGATGATGACTTGTTCCTTTCAGCTATTTTTTTAATACTAGGTTAGAGATAAGATGCAAGATTCTGTTGCATTCTCCATCATAACTGAGTGTAAAAGCTGAGCTCTCGCCGTTGCTTAGCATGATGTGATTTGGTTTCCCATTCAAACAAATTATTAATAAAGTAAAATCTGACTTTATAATGCCACCTCTCTTGGGTTACTTCACAAATGTTAATAAATCACACAGAATTTTGGTAGCTTAGGGAATGGATGTGTTGGCAGGTAGCTAAAGGTTAATATGAATGAACCTTCAGATGCCCTGCTCTTATCTAGAGTATGAGCTTAGCCACTGGTGTGAATGCAAGGAGACTTTCTGCTCCCAGTGGGAAAGGCGTAAAGCATCTCATGTCCTTGCATGCACAGATATTTTGTGAGGTGTATCTGACTCTCTCTAATAACTTCCCCTCCCTCTCACCCCTCCCTAACTTGATGCTTAACTCAGGCTTAGTTTTCTACTGATCATGGAAATTGAGTTTCAAACAAGGGAAAAAATACATATTTTCCTGCATTTTTTTTTTTCCTAAAAAACTTTTCTCCTCTTAGTTATGCGTTCGGCTTGCTGGCAGTTTGCCAGGGAGAACTTAGAACTTCAGTGATGCTGAAATAACCCTCATTGTGTAAGGACATTCTGTTCTTGAATGGTTATGTGTTTTGTTTGGGTCTTCAAGCCAGTTCATCTGTTCTTTTGTAAATGGAATAGGTTTCAGCCTGCAGCTTTTACTTCTGTTTTTGCACAGATATTTTGCACAGTTCATTATTTATGACCAGGAAGTAGAACATTGGGGGAAGATGTTGTTGTTGTTTGTTTTAACCTTTTTTTGGTTTGCTTTTTCAGGAAAACTATATATCAGATCCTACCTCTCTGTGGAGGGACTACCCGCACACTCTGATTCCGTAAGGCCTCCCCTTTAAAGGGTTGCTGAGGATGGGGAGGGTATCAGACATTTCAAACATAAGGTTTATCATGTGCAATCTGCATAGACTACTTAGTCTGTGAAACTAGACTACTGATACGTTTTTGTTTGTATTGATGCAGTTTTATTCTCTATCAATTTGTATCTTACAAAGTTCACTTTCTTTAGGCCATTATTTAAGTATGGGTCTTTCACAAGTTTTATTTGTCTTAATTATTTTTTAAAAATCTTACTTTCAAGGATAGCTGGCAGGAAAGATCTGTATTATTTCTTCCTTTAGAGAGCCTTTTTAATCCTTTAGAGATGGTAATTATATATTTTTACTAGGAAGTTTCTGAAACATTTTGAATTCATTTATAAAAGGTTTATAAATGGTTATTCGATTTTTCAATGTTTCTTTACACAAGCTTATTCAATTCTTGCTTTATTTACAGATTTCAAATGAAGTTTTTCTACATCTCACAGTTGGCGTACTGGTTTCATGCTTTTCCAGAATTGTACTTCCAGAAAACCAAAAAAGTAGGTTGAAAATGTTAACTGAAAAAACTCCAAACAATTAAACTCTAACAGCAGAAACAGTTTATTTCTTTTGAACTTTCAAGTTAATATGTGACCTTAGATTTCCTATCCTGTTCATATACTTATGCTTTCTTGGAAGCATTTTTTGAGTGCTCATATTTCTGTAGAGAAGAACAGTTGTGTTGTTGTTTTTATTCTATTTTGAGTTAAATCATTATTTCTAATTACAGTAAAATGCCTACATATCTGTTGCATAAATAAAACTTGCATTTCTCATTTATTGTAGGAGAGTCAGGAGTTGGGATTTTCCTCTGTACAACCAAATACGAGATTTATTTCAAACTCCTTTTCCTTGTAATTACAAGTCTGAATGATCTCATTTAAGTACAGTAGTGTTTCATGGGTGATGTATGGCAGAATACAAGCAGTGAATGATTTTCCAAGTCCAAGGAGTATTACTCTACAGGATTTGTTGTAAAGACACTTATTCTCAGCAGAATTTCTGGTTAGCTGTGTATTGAGATTTTTTGTTTTTATGCTCAGTTTTAAACTGCACATTCATGCTAAAGAGATTTTCTTGATGGGATTCTTTATGATATTATTAATCTTCAGTTTGCTTAAAACATTTGTAGCAAGAAGACTTTAGCCTTCCTTAACTGACCTAAAGTATATTTTTGCATGTTCTTTCTCAGGTTCACTTTACATATCAAATTTCCCCTTTAAAACTCTTCTCTTGTTACTCTGTGACTCGAGTGACTCTCTGCTGTCAGAGTTCTGCTTTATTCAAGAAAGTCAAAGTGCTATGTAGTCAGAGGGCCTTCATACTCAAGAGCCTGTAGCAGGCTCAAGAGAATAATACTGAGATAATGTGTTGGTGTGTGGATTAGCACCAGCTTGAATGCTGCTGTTTTGCAGATATCTGGAATATAAAAACACAGTTCAGCTGATGCTCCCAGGTTCTACTAGTGGGCATCTGGGAATTTTGGCCCATACCTTGCAGAAAAAGTGTTGAGAGTAAAAATAGTTCAGTTATTTTAGCAATTAATAGTTAATATTTCGCCAGTCACATTTGAATCTCTCCCATCTAGGCTGCTTTACCTTATTTGTTATTTTCAAGAAATTGCCTTCTGTTGCTTGGATCTGTTTGTCCTTATTACTGACATAGATGACAAGGGAAAAAATGTTCATATCTCAGCTTTCTGTATAGTGCACTTCCACCTCCATTACCGAAGTTGTTTTTTTAGTCTAATAGTTGCCCTAAGCAGATCAGAAAGAGCTATTTAAATGTTGCCACAGTTAAAGAGGTAAAAACTCAAACCCCTTAATGTTGCCACAGTTAAAGAGGTAAAAAGTCAAACCCCTATTTAGAAAAACTGAGAATCTGAACTAACTCTGACTCTGTAATTTGTCTAATAGAGCCTATTTCTTATTTTCCTCGGACTCCTTTAGGTCATTCTGTGTCCATTTTCTGTGCATGTGTGTTGGTAGGTGTTTTGGCAGGTGTTGGATTCAGTATTTCTGTTGATGTTGAGATAGTCTTGTATGACTTAGCACGTTATCTCACAAGGTGACCTCCTTAATCTTTATTTCATATAGCCAGGACAAATCTGAAGCCCCACATCTGAAGTTATTGGAATCTTTCCAGAAAGCAGGAGCTTCCTGGGAATATGCCCTATATGCTCCTGGGAGCTTCCTTTGAATATGCGCTATATACTATTTCAAGACCACGATTAATACTGTGGTTTTGTGTGCTTGGGTGGTGGTTTTGGTCGCAAGTTGGAACCTCCTGCTTTCGGAGTGCCGTGTATCCACATTCTAATTCACGTGTCCTCAGTGTTTAGTTTCTATGAAGTGTGGTCCAGTACAGCTGCCTGAAAGCTACCTTGAAGCGTGACCTGTAGTCTGGCAGCTCTGCTGAATAACATTGTTGTTTGTACTTGCCAGTAACCAGGTGCCAGCATCTTGGATCGCTGTGCATTCTAAAAAATAAGTGTCGGAACTTGTGAATCTTTACATGTTGTTCCATAGATTTTTTTTTCTCCATCAATTTGACAGAATCTGATGCACAACAAGCTTCCAGAACTGCAGGTTAACTGAGGATACAGTAATACATACTAGCCAAGTATTGTAAAAGCTAGTACAAATTCCCAAAAGTCATATCCGAGAAAGAGTTCTGCCCTTCTAAAATGCATCATTTTTATATCTTGGGCATACACTGTTGTAAGGAAATATAATGAATGTTACTGGTAAATAACAAACGCCAGTGTAGAATTAGAAGTTTTGGCCTAAGTAATTAGCTACATTATGGTAGCTGAGCAGGCAAAAAAAAAATTCCGAAGACTAGGACATAGGAAACATTGTGTATCGTATGTACTTTTTTTTCTCTCTCTAATTAGGAGGATATATTTCGTCAGATTGTCTACATTGGACTTTATCTCTTTCATATTGCTGGAGCCTATCTTCTAAAGTAAGTCATCTCTAAATGTTTTTTTTTTTTGTCTTTATTTCTAACAAAACGTTTGAGTGTTTGTTTTACTTGTTTTGATAGTCTGACCCATCTTGGACTTGTTCTGCTGGTATTGCATTATTTCGTTGAATTTCTTTTCCACATATCCCGACTTTTCTACTTCAGTGATGAAAGATATCAGAAAGGGTGAGTAGTTGTTATCTTTTCATTCTTGTAATTTCTGGTATGCCTCACAAGACTTATGTATTTAATAGATAGAAGCTAAAATTAAAAGCAAGTTCATGTAGTATTTGCTTAGAAGCCAGCACTTCCCAAATTAATCTTAGTATTTAAGTCTATATAACGTGCTTTTTTTTTTTTAACTCTATTCAGCTATTCAAGTAATAACGAGCAGTTATAAAACCTGAAATAAAATTTTGCACTTCTTATTAATACAGTAAAAGAGATTTAGAGGCCTGGCTCTCAGTGTAGAGGAAGGAACAACACAGATTGCTCTTGCAGTCAGTTTTGTAGAATTATGCTTGTGTTCTGATGTAATGGAAGGCATGTTCATCTGAGTTCAGCTGAAATTTGGTTTTAGGGCACACTTCTGGCTTATAGGAAAAGACTGTGAGGCAAGGGTTTTCCTGTATTTCCAGTATTCATGGAAGTCAAAATGCTATAGGACGGATGCAAAATAGTGAATTTAGTTAAGTACTTAAATCTCAAATGTTTTCTTGATTTCATACTATAAAGAGAATAAGCATTAAACATTAGTACTGGCAATTTTTATTGCAAACTAATCTAGAGAATTTATTTAATTTGTGGTATTTTTCTTTGTAGGTTTTCACTGTGGGCAGTTCTTTTTGTTTTGGGAAGGCTTCTCACCTTGATTCTTTCTGTCCTCACTTTTGGTTTTGGATTGGCAAGAGCAGAAGATCAGCAACTGAATTTCAGTACTGGAAACTTCAATATCCTGGCTGTTAGGTACAAGAAACTTGGAATGCTTTTTTTTTTAGCATAAGCTCTAAGCTTATGCTAAATACACATTAGAAAGTGTGTGTTATTAATGTTAATAATACTGAATTGTTAGGATTTTTTAATACAACTCATAGGGTCAGTAGATACAGCTTCTGTAAAGAAGTGGGGCACAATGAAAAGGATTGAAAAATTTACAGCCTACAGTTGAGGAATTTGTAATTGGTTATTCATTTTTGCTGGAAGAACCAGAATTCTTCAACACGTGAGAGGAATTTCTCTAACAGAACAATCCTTTAAAGTCAAGTGAATTCTAGATGTAAATGCAACTTCACAAAGAAACCTTAAACATTTCAGGATCTGTATAGGTAGCCATTATGCCCAAAGCATCTTTGATGCTGGCAGATGGTTCTCACCTATTCCCCTGCCTTCATTACAGCTCCTGTTGCTCTCGTGATACAGAACGTTCATCCAGCCACTTGGTCTTTTTATGAATTAAATCCAGAAAATGAAGCTGTAAAAAACATTCCCCATGTCAGCATTATTCTCTAGAATTAATACTTAGAACAGCCCTACTTTCTTTTATCCTGTGCCTCGAGAGTAGCTTTGAGAAGGTGAAAGCCAGAAACAAATCTCGTGCTTCTCAGCTTTGTTGGAAGTGCAAAGTCTTTACTCTCATTGCATCTCTGTCTTGGTTCTGGCGTGCTGTGCCCAACTGCTCTATGTGAGGTAGCTCTTGCATCTCTGAAAAACAAGAAAATGCATGTCACTGGTGAGAGGAAAAATAAACCATTTTTTTCTTCACAAATTTGCCATCTTGAAGGAATTCCTTTAATGTGTTCGAGAAACGTGAGATTAAGAAGCAATTTTAAACATATAAAAAGCCACGTGAGGCAAGGTGGCTCTTTTCTTTCATGTTCCTAGACAACTAAATAAACTTGCTAACAAACTTTAACTATGTTTTGTTTCTAGAATCAGTGTGCTGGCGTCCATCTGCATGGCTCAAGCGTTTATGATGTGGAAGTTCATCAATTTCCAGCTTCGGAGGTGGAGAGAACATTCTTCTTCTCAGCCTCAGTCAGTGAAAAAGAAGTTTGTAACAGCTAAAGGAAAGACATCCAGAAGAGAAAGAGGTTTGTATTTATATATATTCGCAGGTATCCTTAACTTCTCAGAAAGAATTTAAGCTCAACTTAAGGATTTTAATAAAAATGCTTCTAGAAAAGAGTTATGTTTCAGTCTCTAGATGACTAAATTATAGAAACTTTTTTTAAGCAAGAAGGATTTACAAAAATATTTGCATAAAAATTTAATTCTTTTCTAATTGATTGAGTATATTACTGTTTCCAGGGTTAATATGACATGATACTTACTATTTTTATTACTTGAGCAAAATATATATCATGATTATTTGTTCTTTTTTTATTATTATTAGTTGGAATTCCATTATCAGTTACCTCAGTATTTCTTACTATGAATTTCAAGTATGTTTTAAGTGCCTCTAGGCTCTGGCTCTTTAGGATAATGGAAGCAAATAATAAGAAAGCTGATTTATATTGGACTGTTTCCACTAAAAACAGAGTTCTGATGCTTCTTTAGACTGGAATTAATAACTGCTCACTACTGTCAACCTCCACAAAAGCTTTTTGGAAATGAATTGCTAACTCCAGATTTGGCCTTTGGGTAATGTTAAACCTATTTTATTCAGGACACATAAGATGAGTAGAATACGTTTTCCTTAGAGGAAAACAGACAAAAAACAAACAACCTTCCCCCCCGCAAAGAAAAATAAATATTTCTGTTCTCGAAACACTTGAACTTCCATGTAGTTGCTGCTGGATTAAATACTTTCCATGCATTGAAACTGAGTGTTTTTTTATTTTCTTGAGTCATTTCAAAGCTTATTACACATGATCTTGTGCTACCAATTATTTATCACCAACCAGTTTCTGGTATACTGATACTGAGTGTGTAAAGAAAACACACTCAGGTAAGGTTTGCACGGAGAGCAAATTGTAATCATAGGTAATTGATCTATTTTCAGGTTTTTCTTTTTCTTAAAATCATGTTCCTTAATGTCTATCTCTACATTCCCTCTTGACTGTTTTTAACTAACCACTGTGGGGGTATTTTTTCTCTTTCACTCAAAGCTAACATGTAAGGGGAAAGTTTTGGTGTTCTTTTAGTTAAGAACACTATAAAAAATCAGTTGGACTTTTGTTTTTAATTGGATGAAGTTACTTTACTATGCAAGTGATTTATTTTATCAGGGCTTCGTATTATGTTTTAATACCTTTTTTTTGTGGAACTAAATCTTCAAATATTCTTAAAACAGAAACTTAAGTTGCATGTAGATCAGTGACTCAGAAGTGTAGTATTAATTCACAAAATAATTGATAGGTCTGCTGTCAAAACTCAGGGTGGGGCAGGCCTGCACCTAATCTTTTAAATACAATGAAAACACTTCTAAAATCCCACAGATAAGTGTCATCCCAGATTTTTCTGCTGTGCAGATGGAGTGTGGCTTTGTTTGAAATGCTTCCACATCGTGCAGCAAGCAAGGATTTCTGAGAAAGTAAAACACACAATTCAGCTGTGTTTAAAATAGTCCTTAGCTTTTGTGGCTGGTTGGATTTTGTGTACCAGAACCCAGTAAAACATCTTAGTGCGTTGAAGACAAGAAATGACATGGTAGGAAAAATCCTTGTGGTGCAGTAGCTTTGGTACCTGGGCACCTGCTGGTTCTTGTATTTTTTGTTTTGGTTTTACTTGCTTGGACTTAACTGAAATTTTACTGCCTTAAACTTCTTCCTTGACCGTAAGCTTTTAAAATTGAGAACAACCCAACCTTTCTGAGAAGAATCCAAAGACCACCTTACACAGGCTTACATTAGTGGTATGGCATTTGCAACTAAATAAAGTTGGATAGTGTCCCCATGTTCTTATGGGAGTGATTGGGCATATTTGCTACTTACATTACTTTTTTTGTTGCCTGTTTACCTGACTAGTAGCATTTATGCTTAGTGCTGGGGAAAGGATGATAAGCAGCTGTTTTGTGGATTAGCCTTTCTCTACTGGCAATCTGCAGTGCATCTTGAAAACATCATCCCATCCATTTAAATACTTACTTTTACAAAAGGCTATAACTGTTGCTTAAAATATGATTCCTACTTCAAGTCTTTTGAAGAAAAACTTAAGTGGGAAGCATTAGAGCTGGCTCCAGGTACCTAGTCTTCAGAGCTCAGATACTTTGGCCCATAGTTCTGTTGTTTTCCTTCATTTTTCTGTAGGCTGTGTGCATTGTAACCTCATAGATTGTGGGTCCTTTTTTTTGTTTTAAAGCAGACTTTTGTCAAATCATATCTGTGCTCGTTGTGCAGATTAGAGCTGTTGAGACCTTTAAGTTGCCCTGAAAGTGGCTATAGAAATGGAGAGATGCAGCTGATAAGAAGCTCTTGTTTTGCTTAGAACAGTAACTATATGAAAGTTTGCAAAGGAGGAAATGTAAGAAATGAAGCAAGAAATATATGGTCAAAACAATAAAGAAGTATGCTTGGGAGTTACATGTGTAATGTGTGGCTCCAAAATTTCAAATGACTCTTATCTGTAGGTTGAATATCTTTTAAGAGAATTTCTGTCTGAAATATGCTGATTGTGGTTTTAAATCTAGCTCTGTCTATGAAGAATTTCCTGTCATGCAAAGTGTCTTGTCATGCCATTTCAGTTATCTTAGTAATCTTTAAATCTCGCACTCTTTAAAAGCTTTGTTATACATTATATATTATAAATATATATATATATATTATAAAAGTAATGATGGAATTGAACAAATATATATCAGAAAAGAAGTTAATAAAAGAGGATTATTTGCTTAGGACCTAATTAAAAGTAATGAAATACAAAGCATATCATTCTATTTGAAAAATGCATTTTCTTTTTTTTTTCCTAGAAAACGGAATAAATGGAACAGTGACCTCAAATGGAGCAGACTCGCCTCGTAGCAGGAAGGAAAAGTCCTCGTAAAACTGGGTTTTATTAAGTTAATTGACTAATGTCCCCAAAGAATCTGCTTTTTACATGGAAGGCCCTTCAGCACTAGAGATGTTACAGATTAAAGAAAATACAATTCATGTTTTTTGATTATTGCTATTGTTTGTGAAACTTTTTTTAAAAGCCATTTTGACTAAGAAGGGTTTATCTGTCTTCAAATACTTGGGGAGGGGGGTACAACAGTTTTTAAATAACATTGACACTTTTTTAGACCTTTATTGTGATGAAATAACTTCACTTAATGAGGATCACTGATGCAATGTATTACTTCTTTCCATCTTTTGTAGTCTTGGTGATATGTACTGTTCTACCAACATCACTTTTTCCAAGAAGTGTTGCAAGATCGAAGTAAAACCAGTATAGGTATCATAGCTTTTCAGTATATTACCTTGATTCAAATTTACAGTTCAAATTGGATTTCTAAGACCACACCAAAAAAATCTATTTTAACTACAACCTCTGTTCCAAGACTTGCCCCGTATCATTAAAACAGAACTGAACTGATGGGAATTGTTGCGGAGTCTTATTGTCTATGTTGGTTAGAAATCTCTTACAAGGAATAAAAACCTTTCTGAGATATAGCTTTAGCACTTGAAAATTAGAAGGGAGAGTGTACGTCATAGAGTTGATTTGAGTAGCACTATTAACTCCCGCCTGTGCTTTGACACTGTGCATATCTCAGAGTTAGTGCGCATTGGACCTTTCTTGAAAACTTGTTTGTCTGATTTTAGAGGGTGGAGGTTCTTGCTGTGTGTTGTCGTGTTTGTTTAGGAGGCATGTAATGCTTCCATGAAGAGGGAATTTGTTAGATAAATGGATCAAGTTATGACAAACATTCCTTTATTCTACTTTGCTTTGTTTCACCTCTGTTAGGAAATAGTTTTGATTTCTTCTATATATATTTTTATGAAAGAAATATTTAAAAGCTACAACTTCTTAAAATTGATTTATTGTGCCCTTTGCTACAACTGGAGAAATCTTAATTTAAGGTTTTGTCCATATCTGTCTTTCATAGTTGTATTAAATGTGAAGCTTTGTCCAGTTAATTTTCCAGTTTATTATGCAGTTGATGTTTTCATGTGTACCCCTTTGTAACGGCTGTAATTCATTCCATTTCGCTCAAGAATGAGTAGAAAATTGAATTCAGTCTTCAGAAGAAGTTGCTCAATCAGCCTTTCAAGTTAACGCGTATATCGGGCTGCTTATAGAGCGAGTGGGAGTTAATGATAGCAACAAGGTGATAAAATAGTTATAAACTGTAAGTAAAGTTGAGATGGTGCCCAGCAAAATAATAATTCTGCCTTCTGTATCCTTTACAGTTTGGTTCCTATGCAGAATAAACATTTCTAGTACAAAATCTTGCCTACACATAACTATCCATTCTTCAGTCACTTGAGTGATTCACAGTCCGTGCGGCATCCGTCGTTACAAGCTGCAGCTAATTTAAGTCACAGTTGTTGGTGATTGCTTCACAGCCCCTGACGTTATGCCAGGCTTGGATCGTTGGCTGTCAGAGCTCTGTTTACGTGGTGTGACTGTGAATCTATCAGATCGGCCCACGAACCTGGAAAACTGGAGCTCGCCCATTCTGAGGGAGATGTTTGCATTAAATACTCCTGCACAAAACCACGTTTCCTGCCTGCTCTTTAAACGGGGGCCTTCACTGAGTCTGTGCCTTGCCTTCAAGTTGCACCTTCTGCCAGAAGGGGCAGCTTTTTACAGCTTTCTAGCCTGCTGCTTTGATGCTAAAGCAGGTCATGCACAGTTTCTGCTTGTCTTGGTGCTGTCCAAATTTTCAAGGCCAAGGGAGATTGTGAAAGGCGCTTTGAAGGCGCTTGAGCTCTGTGAGACTTACTGGAGTCTGAGGGTTGCGATGGTTGTTTCCCTGAGGCAACTGTTTCTCGTAAGCCTCACTCTTTGGCTCTGTAGTCTTGAAATGTAAATTTCGGGTTCCTTTCCAAAAACTCCAAAAGATGATACTCATGCCTGTCAGTATTGGCATTGCTCTTTGTCTCCTTCTGGCCTTGTGGACATTTTTGGCCTTTGGATTTTCCAGAAAGCACTTTTGTTTTCACGATGGCTAATCTTCATCCTTGCCTTACAGGAGTTGCCTCTGTCTGCCTAGTATTAGACAAGGTTTTCGGTCGTCTTAGAAGTTGAAAAGAGCATTGAAGGCCAGTGTCTGTTGTTTCCTGTATAATAACTAAATATATATTTATAGTTTGGGGTGAGTTATTCTTAATTCCTCCAAAAAGAAAGATTTTTTTGTGTGTTTTTCTCTGTGGGGCAGACCGTCCCTCCCCATGAATTGACAAGTTTGAGATTCATATTTCAAGTTTACTCTTATCTGTTTTTACATTAGATGATTCTTTATTTGCCTCTGACTTTTTTTGAGCTACTCTTAATTCTGATTTAAATTGCTTTAATCTTTTTAAAATTCTGATTTCATACCTTACTCCATTGAGGCTCCGTAATCTAGAATCCAGTAAAGTGGAGAAAACTTAGCTGTCTAATCATGTTTCCAGAATTTTGGAATCAGAAGTATTAGAAATGGAAGTGACTAAACAGCTCACCACATTCCTATGCCTAATAAAAACAATTCATCCTTCAGCTGCAGTAATTTATCCTGGTCAATTGCCAGGTCTCACAAAGAGAAGGCTTTTTCCCATGTGCGTGGCTTTGAACCGTGCGGTTCATTTTTTTTTGGGGTTTTTACTTGGTTTTGTTAAAGCCCTGCTGTCCTGTCTGAACTCTTTCAAGACACGTTACTTTTTTGTGTAACCCCATGTCCAAGTTTATGATCTCTCTTGCTGAGAAGACTCAGACTATTCCTGGCAGCGTTACAGTAAGCTTAAAGGAAATGAGTTATGTTGGGATACTGCGTTTGGAACATCAGTGGTTCCTCAAAGCATTTTGATGTTTTTCCTGAACGCTTCTTTTATTTGAAAATTGTGTTTGTGGAATTACCCAGAATTCTAAAAATCAGTGTAATACACTAAGGTAGAAGCTGTTAGGCTTCCATAAAAAGGGCTAAGGATCTGGCATTCTTTTGGTTTTGGGATTCTTGTTTTGTTTGATTTGTTTGAATATCTAGGCAATAGCACCTGGAAGGATTTTGGGAGGCACAAAGTTTGAAGTGGGGCCAGGGAGGGGGGTAATTTCGTAACCATTTAATGTATGTGCGGCCTGCGAGGCCGACTGGCGGGAGCCCGGCTGTCCCGTAACCCTGACGTGCGAGTTGGGCACTCGTGGATTTGGGGCAGGGACTGAGGGGAACAGTAATGTGCTGTGCTGTATTGAGGTGTGCTTTTATCTGTCGCCGTTTGTGGGTTTCCAACAAGTTGGAAACTTGGGTTTCTTCTTGTGTAGGGTATCAGAGTGCCCTACAAAACGTAGGCTCTAGGGAGAAATAGTAGGATCTTTTGAAGAATCCTCTTTGTTTTAAAAGACTGACATCAGTCTTCATCTCGGTGAGTGATAGGGATGCGGTTTCCTTTGAAGTTACCGTAACTTCAAAGACGAGTGTCCTGTTCATATCTGAATTTCTCATGTTGCTAGTAGTGGGTCGCCTTTAAATCAGTAGTTTCATCTAGGTGATTTTTTTTTTCCTGTAGATGGTCGTATAGGGTCTGTATGATGAATATCACCTCCTTTCAGTGCTATCTTCCTCTCACAGCCTGAACTAGTCAGCTTTGTACGTAACAAGCCTATTTCTGTGCACATTAAGGAATTTGGAGTGCTTTTCAGAACCAAAATAGAAGCGGTGCGTGCCTGAATACTTCTAGATCAGACGTGCAAGAAGGAATAAGGCCATCAAAGTGATATACAGGGTGTCATCGGGACCCACGTGAGGAGAAGCGAAACTGAAGAGTCGCATTGCTGTGCGTTTATCCGGATTCGAAGCACACCCGTTCCCAGAGCAAGTGCCTTTCTGTGGGTGAAACCACCATTAACATCCGCAGCTCTCAGTTCCCCTTGTGCGAGCGGTGGGAGAGAGGCTCAGAGCTCAGCCCTGTTGGGCCTCTCTGCCTCTTAGAGACTCCTTTTTATGTTGACAGGACAAAGATGACAACTCCAATTTCAGCTTTAAAAAATAAAACACGCTGCCTGGTTTTGAATCTAAGACAGTTGTTCTTGATCTTTCTCGTTATGCCCTGTCAGTTACTCTTTTTTTGGGTTTCTGCAAGTACTTTGTTCAGCTCAAGGATGGCAACTCTGTGATAAGTGCACCAGAAGTGACATTTCCTTTTTCTTTAATGTATATGTGGAAGATTTTGCAGAATCAGTGTGCCTAAGGCATAGGCTGTAATTTTTCATTATTCTTTTTTTTTAACTCTCTATTTATTATCACTAATGTTAAAGTTCAGGCATTGTCAGGCAGCACAATGCAGCTGTCACTACTTCACCTCAAACACGAGGACATTATCCAATCTGATACACAGAAGCAAAACAGATATTAGTAAATTGTGAGCATTTTAGCAAAAAAATGGTATTTCTGAGTGGTTTTGTTAGTCTCAAAGTTTCCAGGTTGCAATTCACTATTTGCCTTTCTCGTTGAGGAAACTGGGCACTTATGATTCCTGAATTTTTAAACCATACTTCTGTTGTATACAACTTAAAGCTATTGATAGATGATGGGCAAGAGCCTGAGCTTTGTGTTGTCTTTTGTCAGCTATAAGGTAAAATGCTGAAGAATGTATCTTGCATTGTAATCAACAGATGAAAACTCAGTCTATGGCGATGGGAGTGCTGTAATGGGCTAGCAATTTCCTATCTTGAGCTCCAGGTTAGGAGCCAAGCCGGAACTACCTTGTGTTCTCACGCAGGTGGTTCCTCCTCTTTGTTTCCTATTTCTTAAGTTCACCGTTACCTTTGTTTTGTTCACTTAGACTGTTACGTTCTTTGTGGCGAGGGTTGTCTTGCGTGTGTGTACAAGTACCCAGGCCAGTGAGGCCTGGAGCCCCAGTCTGTGGAAGTTGTAATAAGCAGTCACCTTGTTATCATTTTCCTGGATATCATAATAAAGAGCATCTAATTAAAAATGTGCTTGGATAGTTTGTTACAAAAAGGGAGGCATGGAAATCCTCTCTGGCCTTGCTTATGGTCAACAGTGGCACTAGTTACCAGAGAGATTTGGGTAAAGGACAAATCCTGCCAACTGGCTGTTGGAGGATATTTACTTGAGCCAGTGAACGCTCAGAGAAACCAAGAACTGAGAGCTGTAGCTTAAACAAAATGTACCAGGAATCCACGAGCAAGTTCTTGCCTTCTGACAGCTTGAGAAACTGCCTCGATCCTCCACCTTGGGAAGGGGAGCTTCTCTGAAGTGTGTGCAGGGCTTTGCATCCTTTCCAGGATGGAGCGCAGAACCACGGACTTGTGGAGAGGAGGCCAGGTGTGTTTGCACTTCAGCTACACAACTTGTTGAAGTCTACGGCCC